GTCCTTGGTGTTCACTGGACAGATTTATGCTGAAGCGGAAGCTCCAATACTTTGGCCACTTCATGCGAAGAGTTGACTCATTGGAATAGCCCATGATGCTTGGAGGGATTGGGGGCAGGAGGAGGAGGGGACAACAGAGGATGAGATGGCTGGATGGCATCACCGACTTGATGGACATGAATTTGGGTAAACTCCGGGAGTTGGTGATGGACAGGGAGGCCTGGCGTACTGCAATTCATGGGGTCACAAAGAGTTGGACATGACTGAGCGACTGAACTGAACTGATGTAAACATGGAAAAAGGTACAGAGAAAACCATGCCTGATTTAGGAAGTAGAAATGGCGAGAAAGGGAGAAAAGGATGGATAAAACAAGAGTTGAAAAATTTCCCATGATTCAAAGGAATCATGAAGCATGTATAATAGACATTTATTTCAACTCATTTAAGAGAGAGTCTGTATATGTGTTGTGTGTGCCTTAGGAGATAACTGAAAATGAACATAGCACACATTCTTATATAAAATAGTTTGGCAACTATCTAGTTGAATTATTTAGAGAAATTGGTTTAAACTTTACTCTCCAGCTCCTCATGCTGCTTCTCCTAAAATACCAACAACATGAACAGAAAGTGCACCACCTTTTTAAACTTTTTAATTATTTCCATTATATTTAATTACTTCAAGATGCCTAAACAACATAAAGGAAGAAATTTTTGTGCTAGTTTTAACTAATTATAGTCAAAATTTATTTATTCACTCCTTTTTGACAGTAATAAAAAATGTTGAGTATCTCTACTGAATTATGCTATTTAGACTCTATGAGAAAATATAATGCATGAGACGATCATCATATACAGGGTAAAAGTCACCATGACAAGTGAATACCCGCAGTTCTCTAGGAGCTCCAAAGAGATTTAAATCCAGTAAGAAACTATTCAGGCTTGTTTTCTTTCTATCCATTCTTTGAATGGATCACAGGATAAAAGACCTTTGTTTATTTTATAGTTTGGTTTGTAATGTATCCAGTTTTAGTATTATCAGTATGAAACTGAGTCAAATTTCAAGAATTTTTTTTTTCCTAAAAAAAAAAAAATTACAACAAATAAAACCAGGCAGTCAAGGAAGGAAAGGAAATATATTTGAGCAGCAGTTTATCAACACTGTTCTGGAAAAAAATAATCAAGACTGCTGTACTATCACTTACCAGTCTCCTACCTCAAATCTTGCTTAGATACACTCACCTACAGGCTGTGACTCAGCAGTAGACAGAATAAAGTATATCCCTACTTTCTTCGTTAGTAAAATAAGCAATCTGAACGAGGGGACCCTTAGGAAAATTTTAGCACTGACATTTTATACTCCGTGCTCTATCTATTAAAAAGGTTATGTTGGCATAACTTTTAGAGTTGCTGTATCAATAATGACCACATCTTTAAACACTTAATAAAAATTATAACAATTTATCACAGTTATAAGTTCTCCCTCTCTGCAGGCCTGAGGTCCTCATCAGGAAGATGTGGAAAATGAAATGGGTGCTCTATGGCCCCTTCCAGCTCAGACACTCTTGAATCTGGCCAGATTCTTAAATATGTGGTTCTAATTCTCATAGACATTCTGCAAAGCTTGTGTAGTCAGGTCTGATGATGTCTAAGTCACAGAGATCTTTCTGGAGCACAAATTTATGATAAAAGTTAATTGATTCAGAAAAAAAAAATTCAAGAATTTAAGTATCATTTTAAATAATAGGTACATTCAAGATTTTTATAGAGCACATTGCTCTGTTAATTAAATATTCCATTTCTTGTTCATAAAGCATCTAGAATTTGGGGAACCCTAGGTGTATTCCTGAGAGTATGAGCTCTGTTCATTCCCCAAAATGCAAACTTGTGCATGAGTTCATTACACAATTTGCCGTGTATAATATCATAAATAATTTTCTTTCTTTAAAATTAAATTTCATTTTATACTGACAGAGACTAGGGGTAGCTTAATATGGCAACATTTTTCTATATAATAATATAGAAAAATAAAATGAATTTCACTTTAAGAACTTTAACTCTTTCAACTAAATGAGACTGGTTATATTTTATTTGTCTGCAGACTCAAACAGTTCCAAAGTCTATGAGGTTGGGTTTTTCAAACTTATCATGTTCTGTTTTAATCTATAAACTTAACTTTAGAAAGCCCTATTAAAACAATGAACAAAATATCTGTAATATTAATACATTATTTTAAAATTTATGATAATTTAAGATTTAATTTGACAGACTCAAGTTAATTTGACAGACACTGTATGTGTATGCAGTTTATGATCTGGCAGTTGTAAAAGGACCTACTTTAGGAAAGACTCTGCACTTGGATTTATGCTCTGCTGCAGCCATCTTGAAATTCACAATAGCGTTCTCTTTGAATTTACGTTCATAAGCAAAGTCCACTAGGACGTGGAACCATGAATACGAGCATTGGAGCTGCAAGGTGGCAGCCGTGCATACACAGGTCAAACCTACAGGCACAGCAGGAAGTACCGGAGCCAAGCAGTTGGCCTGGCAGCAAGGCACAGATATGCACGCCTCAGCAGTCTTGGCTGCTGTGTGTCCCTGGTGTGAACAGGCCTGAACTGGGTCCAGGTTAGCAGTGGCAAGGGCAGCAACAGAAGCAGCAGTGGTGAGACCCTGGGCCACAGAGACACACAGAGGGCTTCCCCTGCCAGCCAGGAGAGGACCATGGTGAGACTCCCCTATCAGTCCCAGGAACCCATCCCCAAAGTATCTACACAAATATTCAATCTCCTAAATTCCAAGACAGACCCTATGGAGCTCAAACAGTAAACTTTGTCAATAAATTATTACATGATAAAGGAATTCATATAGCCATATCAGTAAAAGTTATCAGGGAGTTATTAGAATTCTTGATTTTAAAATGTCCAGATTTGACAACTCCTGCAACACTGCAATGCAAATATGCACCAGCCTAGCAATAAGAAATTTAAAGATCATCACTTATAGTGGAAAATAACACTATTTTCATATGAAGTTTTAAATGAGCCAGTTATTAACAAGGAAGACAATTTTTAAATTAAATTTTCCTTGTAATTGAAAATACAGGAAGATAAAACATAATCAAGAATTATGGGTTATATACAAATCATGAAACTATTTTTGGCTTCTTGCATTGATCCTTCTTTAATTAAAAGCTACAGGAAATGTCAGAGGAAACATTAAAATACCATTGCATACATTTACGTTTGACATTAAGTTCAATAGAAAAGCAGTGTAATGGTTTTTTGTTGTGATAGAATTGTTCTGTATCTTGACAGTGTTGATGAATACAGGAACCGATACATGTAATAAAACTGAATAAAACTAATTTATGTATACAAATGAGTACACATTTAGTGAAATATGAATGAGATCAGTGGATTATATTCATGTCATTTCTTGTTGTAACATTGCTCTATAGTTTGCAAGATTTCACCTTTAAGAAAAACTGATGAATTGTACATGAGATATCTCTCTATTATTTCTTACAATGTCCATGTTCATTTACAGTTATCTTAAAAACTGTAATTTAAAAATAAGGCACAGTTTCATGACTATGATTTCATGAAGAATTAAATCATTTATTAGAAATTATTCCATGAGAATCATCAGCTCCAGATGTACTAAAATTTATATATTAAAATAATTTATCAAACATTCATCCTAATGTTGTCCCCAGGCTATAAAATACTCCAGTTCCAGCAAAGTTTGCATCAACAGAAAGATCTTCCCCCAAATTAAAAATGTATCAGAAATTATTTGTGATCTTGCATTAGCCAAAAGGAACTGATGTAATTTTCAGTTTTATCATTGAAGATGAAATTATTAATCATATAAATTTTGATGACCTAAGGAATGAGTTTTTCAGAAAGCTAAGCCATAAAAATTGTATGATCATTAAAGATACCACAACAGTATAGTATTACTTGTATTATATATAATTATGGTACCAGAATTTCACTTTTTGAAATGTATAAGTTTATGTTGTTACTCAACTAGCACTATTATCCCAAGTTTTATAATGAATAAAATATTATAAGGAAAATTCTTTATATATTATCTTCAATAATACTTTCCCCCCCCTACATTTTAAACTAAAGGGCTTCAAATTTTTATTTTACCCTGATTCTCATAAACAAGGTAAATCCTGGACTGGACAGTTTGATACATTGATCAAAAATTTCTTTAAGTTTTATCAGGCAATATATAAGATATATTGAACAGCTTATTTTTGTAGAATTGAGCTTAAGATAAGAGTTTTGAAATGACATCAGAAATTGCATCTAAGAAGTCAGCGTTTTTTTTATTTTCAGTGTCTTCCAAGATATTATTTTGCTTATTTTATTTTATTATTTTACAGAAAGCCAGTAAGATTCATCCATCATCAACTTTGACATTTGAATTTCAATATATATTACTCAGAAAAGGCTTCAAGGAAGCCTTTTCATTTATCATATCTGTATTTCCAAATTATGTTAATTTTTCATTTAAGGTATTGAGGCATTCATTGAGGTCTATAGAAATATATCATTTGGACTTTCAAAATTTTAATATCATAGCTTTGATAAAAATTGCTATACTTAGGCCTATGTGCTTCATTATCAATCAGCAGCATTTCTCAATTCGCACATATTAATATATTACTAAAGAATGACACAGATTTCCTGGAAATTTTAAAATTAGCTTATTAACATTCATTCACACCACTGTCCTAAAAGGAATTTTTAGTTTTAAAAACATACAAAACTGACTAGGATTGCATATTTTAACTGTAGACTATTTCTATTTCATTATATTTAGCAAGTTTTAAAAAACAACAGGTCTTTTGATTAACTATTGGGGCAAAGTATCTGTGTAAATGCTCTATTACAAGAATGTTATAATGCTTCTGTGTATCGGTCATAGTCATTTTTCTTCTGCTATCCTAATAGTTCACTCTATTTCCCTTTTCTCTTCTGTTGCAGAATGATTCTTGGGGAAAGCAGTATTCCTACGCACTCTTCAAAGCGATGAGTCATATGCTGTGCATCGGCTACGGAGCCCAAGCCCCAGTGAGCATGTCTGACCTGTGGATCACCATGCTGAGCATGATCGTCGGGGCCACGTGCTACGCCATGTTTGTCGGCCACGCCACAGCTCTAATCCAGTCTTTGGATTCCTCAAGGCGGCAGTATCAAGAGAAGGTAATTAGTCTTATCTCTAATATATTCAACCAGCTGGTTTGTCAATTTAATTAATAGTATTCAGATAAATAAACTATGCCCTGTATCGAAACTATAATGAGCTAAAATGTTCAAAGGAGGAAACCACAATCTGTTTCCATATTTTGAAGTTTCTTCAAGATGGTCTTCATAGCTTTTGTTTCCAGTTTCTCTCTTAAATACTATATTTTCTTTAAAAGAAAATCTGAATTTTCATTCACAAAAAAATAGTTCCATGTTTCAAATGTATGAAGCTGATTTGAGGTGATGTCATGGTTTGTGGTCTATAATTTTTAAACAGTTAATATAAAGACTACTCTTGTACATGTTAGAAAAATGTGAGCTGATTAAATGCAGAGAGGTGGCCATTGCACATCTCTCTTGGCCTCTCTGCATGTTGCAATCATAATTTATATTAAGTCCATATGCATAGCTGAACATATGTTGCCCTTGTATCTAGATAAGTCACCACACACCCTCCAGTCTTTAAAATGCATACTAACAGCTGCTATCATGCATTCTTACGCACAATGTGTTAATTGAAATGATTGCTGTGCTAAACTTTTCTCAAAAGAGAGAAAGTAGATTTGTGCACTGATTTATTCATTGGATTTTGTTTTAATATGCTGAATTATTTGGTTGGTACTATCATGGAGAAGGAAATGGCAACCCACTCCAGAGTTCTTGCCTGGAGAATTCCATGGACAGAGGAGCCTGGCGGGCTACAGTCCATGGGGTCACAAAGAGTCGGAAACGACTTAGTGACTAACTTCATACCTTGGATAATCAGACAGTACTTACATTCTTCACAAACACCAATAACTTTCCTACAGATAAGAATGTTTTATAATTGAGGGAAGAATTTCTAGTGTCGGAGCTCTGTTGAACATAACAGAATATATAATATATATGCACCTTGCTAAAAAATGTATCTGAAAGTAGTGGTTCAAACAATTCTAGAATATGTCTCCTGATGAGTAATAACAGCTTAGACTCATAAATTCTTCACCAAACAGCCAAAGATCATTTCATTTGTGACTTTATTTACAGACGTTTTCGACACTTTATGTTTGCCATAATTCATCATCGAATTCTTGAATTTATGAGGGTTTGGTAGAGGATAAATGATACTGGAATAAGTTTTTGTTACTTTCTGACATTTGAAACAATTTAGTCAGAAACAGCTGGTCATTTAGGTGAGCGGTATTGAGTCCCTCTCCTGCATCTCCCTAAAAGAGGCCCTGAGAACCTGGCAGTCATCACTAGCCTCTTTCTGCTGAGAGCTCTGTGCTCTGCCAGAAGGCACTCTTGGATGAGACCCAAGATGTCAGGCTAGTCCTGCTGTATCACTCAGATCTGGTCCAGAGAGAAGCCCTCAGGCATCCATCTCTTAGCCCCTTTCTCAGCACTACTGCCTCTTTCACCAAAGCATGGAAGAGCTTGTGTCTCGCCTTCTTCAGTTTCTTGGCAGAGTCACACCCAGTGTCCTCAGGCTATTTGCATGTTCTCAGATGTGAACTGGACTCCAGACTCATGTCTCTTAACTATGTGAACTCATTTCAAAGATCCCCAAGCAATTTTCTTGACGTCCCTCTGAAAGGTCAAGGGTTAGAAGGTAGTCCTCCCACAGCCCTATCCCAAAACAGGCTGGGGAAGGCACTCACAGAAGAGCAGTCATTCCCTTCAAAGAAGTCTACTCACTATTGTTGTCAGGAAAGTTCTTTTTCTACTCTCTGACCTCTGTAGACCTTCAATGAGATTGACACCTTCAGAAGTCTTCATCATTGGATCCCCACTTACAATTGTAAACCTGTATAGGAGAGAGCCTCTTACATAACCAGCATTCTGATATCTCAGGTTAGCAGCTCAGTAAACATGAGGAAGGAAGAGTAAATCCTAATCTAGCAGATTTTTAGACTGTTTATTTTAAAATCTCAGCTCTTCTCAAAACTTCTTCCACAGATGATATAAATAAATCATAAACACACACACACACACACACACACATATATGACTATATATGTTTTGTTTTTTAATTTATTTATTTTTAATTGAAGGATAGTTACAATATTGTGTTGGTTCCTGTCACACATCACCATGGATCAGCCATAAATATACATATGTCTCCTCCCTCTTGAACCTCCCTCTCACCTCCCACCCTCTAGCTTGTCACAGAGCTGGTTCGTTGTTGAATTACCTATTTAATTGTTTCCTGGTCAAATAAGCTTGTACATCTTAATTGAAACAATGAACTGAAAAGATTTTGGCATTAATGTGTGTGCTATGAACATTTAACATTTTGTCTGCCCTCTATGCCAAACTCCCTTGTATTTTAAGTGATTAATGAACACTTGGGAAATGCCTATCTAGACATACTCCTCACAGTGAGCATTCCATTTTCTTAAGTTGACCTTGGGTAGTTACTACCTTTTCTAGATATATCCACAGTTCATCTTGTCTTTTTAAATGAAATTGCTTTAGATCACTCTGTATCTTTATACTGTTGTGTCTCAGTTCTTATACTGCAGCACCCCTGGGAAGCCTACTATTATTTCTAAACTTGTCACTCTCTTTCCTGTCAAATAATTCTAGTGAAAGCAGCATTTAGGTGTGCAATTTTTCTTTGGAATAAGCAAGAATTTTAATACAAAGCACATTATGAATGTAGAATAAGGAATTTTCAACTCACCTTGGTGTACCTGACGTACATGAATGATTTTTAGTGGAAATTTGAACATGACAAGTATTTAATTGTATGAGGAAATTATCAAATTGAAATAACTTTATATACTGAATAGCTTCTGAATCTAAGAAGCAAAGTGTATATTAATCTAAGGCAGGTTCAGCAATGAATGACTTGTCTAAATCATTCATTTAATGATAGAGCACAAGGCAGTAAGCCAGTGCTGCTCTGGGCTTCAGATATTGTGTATGTTGCCTAAAATTGTAAAAACTACTGATTCTTAGTTTAATAATGATAAGAAACAACATTCTAAATTTATCCAAATGGACAAAATTTTATCATGTCAGCAAATGTTTATGATCCCTTTGGATAAGAAGGTATATTTAACATAAGTAGTCTCTCAACCATGCAGGCAACTTATATGTAATCCTGAATGAAATCATGCAGTTGTGCAGTTTTATGTAATCATATCAAAAATATTATATTCTAAACCTAGTCAGTTCAGGAAAGTTTTTTGTTTGTTTGTTTGTTTGTTTTAGTGAATAATCCATAGATTCTTATTTTTTTCTTGTAATGAAAGACTATAATCAGGACTGTCACATAAGCTTCTTATTCCATAGAAATATTTTTAATCAATCTAGTCTTCCAAATTTGTATAGGGTAATGTTATGAACAAAGACAAAATACTGGGCACTAAGACCTGCTCTCATTTTTGAACTAATCAAATCCCATTTATAGTAAAGCAAATTTCAGGTCATTTAAAATGAACTGATTATGGGTAATATGCCCTTCAAAAATAATTTGTTGGAAAAAGAATGGTGCCAAACCAACTTTTAAACTCATGGATCTCATAGCCAAATCTCTCTTCCAACCAGAAAATTATTGTTCTCACAATAAACCAAATTATTCTCATCTGCCCCCATGCCTTTCATCCTCCTCCTAACATACTTTTACCCCTTTTCCTGTTTACACAGGTTTTACCCTTCCCTTTGTAAGACTGTGACACCTTCCCTGATTATCCTAACCCATAATAATCTGTTTATTGTGTACATTCTGTCTGTTCCAGAGTAATATAATATCCTGATAGGAAGATCTGTGTCTTTGTTATTGTGTATTTCCTCCCCCATAAACAGAAACCTCAGTGCTGCAATGCTCAAAGGAAACAGTAAGGATTAAGAATATTTATAGTTGTCCAACTGTGTTTTCTAGAAAATAAATGGGAATAAGAGTTTATCCTTTGAAATTTTTGAATTCTATCACTTGAATATACATGAGAGCATCTTTTTTGAAATGTTGATCCTGTTGTTTATTTATGTGTAGGTAAACATATTGCTTCAGCTGTTACAGCAAATACTTATGTATGTATGTATGCATTTGGCTTACACACAGGTCATGTTTTGGAAACTAAATTTTCAATATGCTTTCCCTTCTGGAATTCTGAGATTGATTTCCTGTAAGTAAAAGATACATTATCAAAATATCTTTCATTGGGGTTGAAGCCATTTCTTGATTCCTGGGTTGATCAGGAGGGTGCTCTGCTTTAAGCCATGATGAAACCCTTTGTTTCAGAAAGAAAGATGGGAGAGATTGTCAGGACTGTCATGTGATTCTGAATCTTCAATTTTGAAAAAGCATTCTATGACTAGAGTAATGGCAGATCAAAGGGAAAAAAAATTGGAGTAATGGCCATTGGTCATGATGGTTTATAAATAATACTATTATTCCATTAAAAAGAAGAAAAGTTGCCTCTTATTTTGCACCCCATCTTCGTTATATCAAGAAATTAGTCAGTTGAGCTTCTGATTTGGTTTACTGACTGTGTAGACTTGTCATAGTATTTGTGTTCAGAAGAACAAAAGGTCTTTGAAGTTATAATGATCTTGAGCTTGGAAAATCAAACTGACCCAGTATTTAAAGGAAAACTGACTGATGCCCTCATTTTCATTGGAAGCATTCTTAGTGGGAAGAGTAGCTCTAAAATGTGTGTGTATTCGACAAAATGTTTCATATGATTTTCTTCATTATTAGTAAATGAATGTCTTCTTCCACTACAAAAAAGAATGCTATGAGCAGAACTCCCGCATGGTTCCTTAATTAGTTGGAAAAGTCTCCAATTCAGCTATTCTATATACTTTTGCTTCCCAGGAGCTGAATTTATTGTACTCAGATATGTTAAAGTGGTAGTACTGCCAAACATTCTCAGGCCAGGACCGTCCTCGGACTGGGAATATTTGTGAGATTTTCTCATAGAAAACTAACAGTGCCACAGCCCTTGGGTTAGCTTCATGTTGCCACTTCA